TTTTCTTGAGGTAAATTTCGACACAGCAACTGGTGTTACCACGGATGATGGCTGTATAGCGGCCTTGACCCAGTCCCCCACTTACGTCAACTCTGCAGCCCCGCTTTGAGCTTTGAAGTTTAACTGGTCCAACTGGCCGGGTTTTTGGTCACTACACTGACCCTGTCTGTCGTTGCTTGTTATGAACAAATAAATTTTGACTAACAACTGCTGTTACCTCAGACGATTACTGGAAATCGACCTTGACACAGAACGCCACTTACATTGACTGTTCAGCTCCGTTATTAGCTGTCGAGTTCAATTGGTCCAATCCGCTGTGTTTTCAGTGATGTTCCGGTTATCTTCTGTCGTTGTTTTTTTGTCCCGGATGTGTCCGTTTTAGAGCCTCCACTTGTAATGTGCTCATCTAGGGGCATGAATTGTTTACATTGCTTTCAGACGAACAGTGAGTTGAAACGACACAGCATGAACGAATATTGAGTTCTTTGCTTTTATTCGTTGAATCGCCAGTTATCGCAAACATACATTCATGCTTCCTCGTGCTCGACTTGCTTGGCTGAATCTAGCGACCTGGTCGGACTTCCCACACACTACAGGAATTTATCCGCGCCTCTCGAACCATCCATCTATACTTCATGGACTCTGATATCTGACATTACCACGTATGGAAAAACATTCAGTCCTCCTATTGAAATATAACGTTCACTTGACAAATCATTTATTCTTCTCAGGCGTTCATTCACGCGTCCTCTCTCAGTCAGGGCAGAACTTCAACTGTCTTACTTCAGTCTCTCGGTTCACGTCTTCCGTTCACGTCTCATGCTTTTCTTGTGTCTCTCACTTCGTTTACCATGAGACACACGAGACTCACTTCTCCCGTTTTTCTCTTCTCTCACGGGTCCTCCGACCTTTTTCTCCCCATCGGGAACTCTCTGGGGTTTCCCCGGGAATTCACAACATTACACGTGACCTGTGCATCACAAACTCTTTTTTCAAAACTAAAGACTGCCATAGGTTGTCATGGAAACCTCCAAGATCTGGCCACTGGCACCAATTGGACATGTTCTCACAAGGAGGCAGCACTTGAACTGTGTATCACTAACTCACAGCTACCGCAATGCTGATTGTGATATTGGCCATTCCTTAGTTGCTACAAGAGTTTGGATGAAACCAAAGAGGATTTTCACTTCAAGAAACAAAAAAATCCCCAGGTTAAAATTTCTAAAACTAAAGACCCTGAAAAGTGTTTTGAATTCCAACAGCAGCTCGAAGATGCTTTAATTAATATCAGGGTAACGCTATGGCAAGTTTAAAATGGGATGCAATTAAGGAAACTGTTTACAAAACAGCTGCAGCAGTCTATGGAATTAGAGAACATAGAAGTAAGGACTGATTTATAGCAAACTAGCTGTACCCAGCCACGCGTTGCTGTGGCGTATTTTGAGATAGTCTTTGATCCACCCACCCCTTCACCCCACAACTAAATCCACCTACTACCCTCTCCCTCATCAAAGGTTTTTAGAAAAGAAAGACAATGGAAATCGCACCTGTCTAATGAAGTTAATGACGCAGTCAATGTCTGCGCCGACGTCGAGATAGTCCTTGATTGCCCCCCCCCCCCCCCCCCCATCGAAGGTTGTTTGAAAAAAAAACAGAAAATATAAATCGTGTTATTGTGGCAAAAATAGAGATAGTCTTGTTTGCGGTACCTCGACCTACTCTATGTATTAAGGCGTTGGCTGCACGTAACTCACCGGCGAATGGCGGAAGCCTTGCGTTCTCTCTAGGGGGGCCCCATGCGCAATTACTAACGTGGCTATAATTAGAAATCACTAAAGTTATAAATATTAGTTGCGAATATTATGGCATGAATTGTGGTCACTTCTCTCTAACAGTGACAGGTTGAATTTCAAACCACGATGGTTCAAAATCCGGTATCAAAACAAACATATCCTGAAAGTCTCAGCTAAATCGGTTCGGTAGTTTCCGAGTCTATAGGGGGCAAACAAACACACAAACATTGATTTTTATATATATAGATAGCCAGACACTCCAATCCTTAGGGGTCACTAAACTGCATTTTTTTCCTTCAAATTTATGACAAAAACATCACTTTTTCAATGTGTTCATTTTTGTTAAATTCGGCATTCGTAGAATAGATTTCACATGAGATTTATTTCATTTGTAAACGATTTAGAATTGAAAACTGTTCACTAAAGACAAAACCCCATGCAAGGAAACTTAGGGAAGCTTTGAATTTGAGGTAATTTTACTGCTGCTAATATTTACAGGTTTGCACCAGAAACATAGGCCAACATTTTCTTCACCAGTGGGTAGAGTCATCAACCCACTGGTGAAAGGTTGACAGACCCAGATCTCCTTTAAGGCAGTGCTAACATCAACACTCAGAATGCCAGAAAGCTTTAACTCATTGATTTAGCAGCGCTGTCCCAAAACAACATTTGCTTTAATGTCAGCAGTGGAGACAGCAACTTCCCTGGCCACTCTGTCTTTTAACTGTGGTCTGATAGGGATTCAAATGGTATTTGACAAAATGGGACTGGAATGGAGACGTGTATACAACTTGTATGCTACAAGAATGCTGAAGAGAAAGAATTATGAATTAAGAAATCAAACATTAAGTCTTTCAAAATGGAAGAGAGGGGGAAAAGGCAACTTGAGCTAGAACATCAGCATGAAGCAACAGAAGGCAAAACCTATGATGCTGATGCATTTATCTATTAAATTTATGTGACATTTTCTATGTATTGGATAGAAAACATAAACAAACTGTGTAAGAACACTTTCTTTTAATATAAATCATATTTTATGTGACTTTCAAAGTTTAAAAGTCAGTTTTCTCATAATTCTATTTTTCTGTTTGTTGTATGTGTAAAATCCCAAAATCTCAGCTAATTTAACTCTTTATCTTCAAAGGTCCAAGGAGTGGTAATGCAATTTTTCAATTTCAAAAGTATAACACATTAAAACAGACCATACTAATTCAATTGCCACACAACATACACGTATTAAGCATCAAACTAACCAGGGGTTGTTGAGGAGTAATTATAGAATAAAGCTGCAACAAATAATTGCGTTAGTAATTAAATATTAGTAAATAAACAGACAGTATGTTACAAAAATTAGTAAAATGAAATAAAAAAATTTCCACTTACCACCATGGCACTCATGGAAAACTGGTTAAAATATATCCAAAGTGAATCACCAAGGAATATGAACCACTTAGTGATGTATAATCAAAATATAAACTCAATCTATACATTAGATTTTGTTCCAGAGAATCGTTTGAAGCATCATATCAGAGCACCAATATTTGGTAAAGAAAACTGGCTCTCAAAACAATAAGTATCTTCTCACAAAACAAAGTTTATATAACACTCAATTTGCCTGTAATTTTGTAGCTATGTTCCTAAATAATAAGTTTGACTCTATAAATGACTAAAACACGTCTAATTCACAACGTTATCTAACTTTGAATAAATCGAATAAACACGTACTTTATTTAAATCTGAGGCTTCTTAAGCCGTAAATCATGTTTGCACGCATGTAGAATACTGCTTGGGGACCATATTCTTTTCAAACAAATACTTAGTAACTTGGCAAGTCTCGTAAATAAACTATATTTTCAGCTTTCAAACCACGTTTCTAAATGAGCACTCCTGATATCACACACAAAAAACTCAAAAAGAAGTTGAAATTAAGCGGTCCACGTTTTTTAACCAGTTAGTGGTAGATTTAAAACCTTGACTTGTCACACCTCGATTGGGCCGCCCGCTTGTAACAAATTAGCACATGCCTTTCCTTGGACTCAATGAGATAAAGACTAGAGACATGAAATTTGGTGTGGATACTCCTTAAACAATATGATAGCATAATCATCATCATGTGCCCTGCCAACTGGCATAGGGGCTCATGCATCTTCACAGATCACGATCCCTGGTTGCCTGGAACAGCTCTCTTGATATTCCTCCATGCCATCATTTCAGCCCATCCAGCATCATCTCTCTTGGCCTGCCTCTACACCTCTTTCCACTGATCGTCCCAGTTGTCACGATGCTCTCCAATGTCTCTCTTCTCATTATGTGACCAAAGAACAGTGTTTGTCTCCTTCTTATTGTTGTATATAGAGATCTACTTTCATTAGCTTATTTCAAGCAATTGTTGTTAGTTACTCTGGCCGTCCAAGGTATTCGTAACATTTTTCTCAGAAAAAACTTCTCTGTTGCTTCTAAATCAATTTTAATCAAGATGGCGGCTGTTGCCATGGCAAGCATGATTGTTTAATAGTTAAAGTGTACAAATGTATTAATATACATTGCTACAAACTACCATTATAAAATAACTTGTCTAACATTGTAAATATAAAAAATGTACATAAAATATTTCATGCTGTGACCACTTAATTGACAGCAAAAAGTTAATACTCCTCAGAAACAAGGAAAGAGCAACAAGGAACACTCTCAGCAAATTAGCAAAAAGTAGCTAACTATACAGTGCCAACGACTACTGGATCCAATTATACGAAAGCATTCAAAATGCTAGCAGTAGTGGTAATGTTAGAGGCATGTATGAGGGGATAAAGAAGGCCATCTGCCCAACTATTTAAAAAAGTGCACAACTAAAGAATTTGAATGGGGAGATTATTACTGACAATAAGAAGCAGCTGGATAGATGGGTGAAACATTATCTGGAGCTATATTCAACTGAAACTAAACTAACAGATGATGTTCTCAATGCAATGAATACGCTACCAACTCTTGACTATCTGGGCACATTTCCAACAATTATATTTATTTATATAAAAATAATTTCTAAAATGGTAATCAGACTGTCAAGGTACTGCAGGAATCATCAGAACCAAGTCCTTATGGAAACAATTAGCAGAGGTACCTTAGATTGTCAGCTGTGATAACATAAGAGTGCTACCTTTTGAATGGCAGTCTTCAAAACCAAACATGTCTCGTGTGGTTGTATTCCAGTGCTCCAGTTGTGTCACAGACAAGACGAGCAAGTTGTGGTGATTGTGGACCCAGTGCTGCGATAACAAAAGGGCTGAAGCCTGTTCAAGAGGTGTCCACAAAACTGTACCCACGGCCAAAAAAACACATCTGTGGTCCGCACTCAAAGAGAGAGCTTGGGCCAGTCCAAGAAAATAACAGTACGTCCCTGTCTCCTCTGTTTCTTTTCGCTTTAGTCTTTGTTTCATCTTTGTTTCTTTTCTGTATAGTCACTGTCTCATCTCTGTTTCTTTTCTGTATAGTCACTGTCTCATTTCTGTTTTTTTCTATATAGTCACTGTCTCATCTTTGTTTCTTTTCTATATAGTCACTGTCTCATCTCTGTTTTTTTTCTGTATAGTCACTGTCTCATCTCTGTTTCTTTTCTGTATAGTCACTGTCTCATCTCTGTTTCTTTTCTCTATAGTCACTGTCTCATCTCTGTTTCTTTTCTGTATAGTCACTGTCTCATCTCTGTTTCTTTTCTGTATAGTCACTGTCTCATCTCTGTTTCTTTTCTGTATAGTCACTGTCTCATCTCTGTTTTTTTCTATATAGTCACTGTCTCATCTCTGTTTCTTTTCTGTATAGTCACTGTCTCATCTCTGTTTCTTTTCTGTATAGTCACTGTCTCATCTCTGTTTTTTTCTATATAGTCACTGTCTCATCTCTGTTTCTTTTCTATATAGTCACTGTCTCATCTCTGTTTCTTTTCCTGTATAGTCACTGTCTCATCTCTGTTTCTTTTCTATATAGTCACTGTCTCATCTCTGTTTCTTTTCTGTATAGTCACTGTCTCATCTCTGTTTCTTTTCTGTATAGTCACTGTCTCATCTCTGTTTCTTTTCTGTATAGTCACTGTCTCATCTCTGTTTCTTTTCTGTATAGTCACTGTCTCATCTCTGTTTCTTTTCTATATAGTCACTGTCTCATCTCTGTTTCTTTTCTATATAGTCACTGTCTCATCTCTGTTTTTTTCTATATAGTCACTGTCTCATCTCTGTTTTTTTTTTCTATATAGTCACTGTCTCATCTCTGTTTCTTTTCTATATAGTCACTGTCTCATCTCTGTTTCTTTTCTATATAGTCACTGTCTCATCTCTGTTTTTTTTCCTGTATAGTCACTGTCTCATCTCTGTTTCTTTTCTATATAGTCACTGTCTCATCTCTGTTTCTTTTCTGTATAGTCACTGTCTCATCTCTGTTTTTTTTCTATATAGTCACTGTCTCATCTCAGTTTCTTTTCTGTATAGTCACTGTCTCATCTCTGTTTCTTTTCTATATAGTCACTGTCTGATCTCTGTTTCTTTTCTGTATAGTCACTGTCTCATCTCTGTTTCTTTTCTGTATAGTCACTGTCTCATCTCTGTTTCTTTTCTGTATAGTCACTGTCTCATCTCTGTTTTTTTTCTATATAGTCACTGTCTCATCTCTGTTTCTTTTCTGTATAGTCACTGTCTCATCTCTGTTTCTTTTCTCTATAGTCACTGTCTCATCTCTGTTTCTTTTCTGTATAGTCACTGTCTCATCTCTGTTTCTTTTCTCTATAGTCACTGTCTCATCTCTGTTTCTTTTCTGTATAGTCACTGTCTCATCTCTGTTTCTTTTCTATATAGTCACTGTCTCATCTCTGTTTCTTTTCTCTATAGTCACTGTCTCATCTCTGTTTCTTTTCTGTATAGTCACTGTCTCATCTCTGTTTCTTTTCTGTATAGTCACTGTCTCATCTCTGTTTCTTTTCTGTATAGTCACTGTCTCATCTCTGTTTCTTTTCTCTATAGTCACTGTCTCATCTCTGTTTATTTTCTGTATAGTCACTGTCTCATCTCTGTTTCTTTTCTCTATAGTCACTGTCTCATCTCTGTTTCTTTTCTGTATAGTCACTGTCTCATCTCTGTTTCTTTTCTCTATAGTCACTGTCTCATCTCTGTTTCTTTTCTGTATAGTCACTGTCTCATCTCTGTTTCTTTTCTGTATAGTCACTGTCTCATCTCTGTTTCTTTTCTGTATAGTCACTGTCTCATCTCTGTTTTTTTTCTGTATAGTCACTGTCTCATCTCTGTTTCTTTTCTATATAGTCACTGTCTCATCTCTGTTTCTTTTCTGTATAGTCACTGTCTCATCTCTGTTTCTTTTCTGTATAGTCACTGTCTCATCTGATAGAATACTGATATGTCTGGACAGTGTTACTCCACAGAAGATCAGAGAACTTACCTCTCTCAAGAAATTGAGGATGCATTCCAAGAAAAGAAGCTAGTGCTTGTGGCATGGAAAGATCTGAAGGAAGCCTTTGACAAGGTCTATGGAAAGAAGGTCTAATTAAGAAATGAGATACTACAAAGTGAATGGGAATATTCGCAAATGGGTGAAAGCATACTTGTATAACAGAAGAGCCTGAGTACAGATAAACAGCTCAACATTTAAAAACGTACTACAAAGGTGCAAATCAAACCCTCAGAGTCTTAACCATGCCTGTATCTCATAGCTTCAATGACTTTCTGCCATGTGCAGTTTCTCATTCAGGCGTGGTTGACCTTCACATGCCTGTATCTCATAGCTTCAATGACTTTCTGCCATGTGCAGTTTCTCATTCAGGCGTGGTTGACCTTCACATGCCTGTATCTCATATCTTCAATGACTTTCTGCCATGTGCAGTTTCTCATTCAGGTGTGGTTGACCTTCACATGCCTGGATCTCATAGCTGCTATGACTTTCTGCCATGTGCAGTTTCTCATTCAGGTGTGGTTGACCTTCACCTTAGATTGCATCTGATTACATCATTTATCATTGTAGGGAAGAGCTTCCAAATTCAATCTTTAGTATCATGGCCACAAATTGTGCATTCACTCTTGAAGCAGGCATACCCTGCTTCATTTATTGTACTCTTTATACTTATTATACCATTTATACTTCTGCTTGTCATACTTTTGTTACTGATCCTTTTTTATGCTGATTATTCTTTTTCTTAATACGCTGTTTATACTCATCCTTATTATAATGTTTATTTTACCTTTTTTTTTTAACTTATCTTAATCATGCAAGGTTTAGCTAATCCTCTTTGACTGTTTATGTTTTTGCCCATTTTACTTATCTTTTTTTATTCTATTCATGTTTATACTTTTAACACAGTTGTATATTTCTCCATATTATACAATCTGTGCTTATCTTCATTATACTTCTTATAGCCTTTAGCAACATACAGTCCAATCCATGCCGTGGTCAGCCAAGATTCACTCACAGAACACAAGCCATGCACCTGAACAATCCACCTTTGACCATCAACATGGATGCAGCTGGTCATCTACCAAGTGGCCAGCTAGTTTCTACCCAAACCAGTCTGCACAGACAAGCCACTCGCCTTGCCTCCATGCCTGACCAATCTCACAGAACCAGAATCCTCAGGCCTCAGGGATCAAGAAACCTGCAGCCTCACAGACCAGGAAACCTGAAGCCTAGAGAGTGGTCTGCCTCCGGAAGGTCACCAGAGGGGCAAACTTTTCCACCGCCCAAGCAGCTTCAGCTGGTCCCACCGCCCAAGCAGCTTCAGCTGATCCCACCGCCCAAGCAGCTTCAGCTGGTCCCACCGCCCAAGCAGCTTCAGCTGGTCCCACCACCCAAGCAGCTTCAGCTTACTGCTGCTAGAGGCAATGTAAGTCTGACAACTTTCTGGGAATCAGAATCTTGCAAGTGTAAAAAATCTCTTTAAAATATGAACATGTCTTTAAAAAACTGAAAGTATACTGAATGTCTAAAAACATCTTGAATGTCTTTTCTTCTTATTGTTTTCTTCATTCTTCCAATATTTTTCGGATGTGAAGGCCATAGGCTGTGCTGTAACAGATATCCTTCACTAATCTCAACAGCTTGGTCCCCCCAGAATGCCAAATGGCAACTGACCAGATGTGGGATTTCTTCTGCATGCAGAGCACAAGTCTTAGTATTTAGAGGGACTACCCACAAATAAAACATTCTGAGTTTCCAGTCTTTATTTTTCTTGGAGATCTAAACGTATCAGGAATGTCTGAAAGTATTTTTTAAATGTGAAAATGTCTATAAAATGTATATAAAGTATAAGGAAAGTGTGAAAGTTTCTTGACAATATTGTAGCATCCTAAAAGTGTAAAGAGAAGATATTTTTTATGTGAAAAAGTATCATGGAAGTGTACCAGTATCTTTGAAGTAGATATCTCAGATGTGTCGATGTTTCTGAAATATGTAACAATATGATGTATGAAAGTTTCTGAGATGTAGAAACAGCCTCCGATGTGTGAAACAGTCTTGTATGTGTGAAACAGTTTTGTATATATGAAACAGTTTTGTATGTATGAAACAGTCTTGTATGTATGAAACAGTCTTGTATGTATGAAACAGTTTTGTATATATGAAACAGTCTTGTTTGTGTGAAACAGTTTTGTAAATATGAAACAGTTTTGTATGTATGAAACAGCCTTGTATGTGTGAAACAGTGTTGTATGTGTGAAACAGTTTTGTATATATGAAACAGTCTTGTATGTATGAAACAGTCTTGTATGTATGAAACAGTTTTGTATATGTGAAACAGTCTTGTATGTATGAAACAGTTTTGTATATATGAAACAGTCTTGTATGTGTGAAACAGTTTTGTATATATGAAACAGTCCTGTATGTATGAAACAGCCTTGCATGTATGAAACAGTCTTGTATGTATGAACAGTCTTGTATGTATGAAACAGCCTTGCATGTATAAAACAGTCTTGTATGTATGAACAGTCTTGTATGTATGAAACAGCCTTGCATGTATGAAACATTCCTGCATGTATGAAACAGTCATGTATGTATGAAACAGTCTTGTACATGTGAAACAGTCTTGTCTGAAGGAAACAGTCTTTTGTGTATAAAACAATATTGTATGTATGAAACAGTCTTCTATGTATGTATGAAAGTGAATCAGATATAGCTGGGAGTCACCAGACAGTATGAAAGTGTCTTAGATGTTTGAAATTATCTTGAATGTATGAAAGTACCTTAGATGTGTTGAATAGTTTTGGATGTAAGAAAGTACCTTAGATGTGTTGAATAGTTTTGGATGTAAGAAAGTACCTTAGATATGTTGAATAGTTTTGGATGTAAGAAAGTACCTTAGATGTTTTGAATAGTTTTGGATGTAAGAAAGTACCTTAGATGTGTTGAAAAGTTTTGGATGTAAGAAAGCGCCTTAGATGTGGAAAGTTATTTTGGATGTATGAAAGTGCCTTAGATATGTGAAATTATTTTGGATGTATGAAAGTGCCCTAGATGTGTGAAATTATATTGGATGTAATAAAGTGCTTTAGATGTGTGAAATTATTTTGGATAGATGAAAGTGCTTTAGATATGGGAAATTATTTTGGATGTGTGAAAGTGCCTTAGATATGTGAAATTATTTTGGATGTAAGAAAGTGCCTTAGATGTGTGAAATTATTTTGGATGTATGAAAGCGCCTTAAGTCTGAGAAATTATATTGGATATTTGAAAGTGCCTTAGATGTGTGAAATTTTTTGGGATACATGAAAGTGCCTTAATTGTGTGAAACTTTTTTGGATGTATGAACTTGCCTTAGATATGTGATATTATTTGGGATGTATAAAAGTATCCAGACTGTGTGAAAGTGTCTCAGATGAAGCTCGTAGTCTTTAGACAGTATGAAAGTGTCCTCCTTGTGAGAATATGTCAAATTGGTGCCAGTGGCCAGATCTTGGAGGTTTCTATGACAACCTATGGCAGTCTTTAGTTTTGAAAAAAGAGTTTGTGATGCACAGGTACCAAAGTGTCTTAGACGTGCACAATTATCTTGGATGTATAAAAGCAACTTATATGGGTAGAAATATCTTGGATTAATAAATTAACTAGACAGATCTTCAGAATAGCAGACAGTAGGTTACAACTGTTGAGCAGACTGTCTCTGTATGCAGATGTTTTGTTGTGTAATATTGAAGAATGTATGTGTCTGGATTCAAATGTTTTGTTGTGTAATATTGAAAGATTTATGTGTTTAGATTCAAATGTTTTGTTGTGTAATATTGAAAAATGTATGTGTCTGGATTCAAATGTTTTGTTGTGTAATATTGAAGAATTTATGTGTCTGGATTCAAATGTTTTGTTGTGTAATAATGAAGAATGTATGTGTTTAGATTCAAATGTTTTGTTGTGTAATATTGAAGAATTTATGTGTTTAGATTCAAATGTTTTGTTGTTTAATATTGAAAAATGTATGTGTCTGGATTCAAATGTTTTGTTGTGTAATATTGAAGGATTTATGTGTTTAGATTCAAATGTTTTGTTGTGTAATATTGAAAGATTTATGTGTTTAGATTCAAATGTTTTGTTGTGTAATATTGAAAGATTTATGTGTTTAGATTCAAATGTTTTGTTGTGTAATATTGAAAAATGTATGTGTCTGGATTCAAATGTTTTGTTGTGTAATATTGAAGAATTTATGTGTCTGGATTCAAATGTTTTGTTGTGTAATAATGAAGAATGTATGTGTTTAGATTCAAATGTTTTGTTGTGTAATATTGAAGAATTTATGTGTTTAGATTCAAATGTTTTGTTGTTTAATATTGAAAGATTTATGTGTTTAGATTCAAATGTTTTGTTGTGTAATATTGAAAAATTTATGTGTTTAGATTCAAATGTTTTGTTGTTTAATATTGAAAAATTTATGTGTTTAGATTCAAATGTTTTGTTGTGTAATATTGAAAGATTTATGTGTTTAGATTCAAATGTTTTGTTGTGTAATATTGAAAGATTTATGTGTTTAGATTCAAATGTTTTGTTGTGTAATATTGAAAAATGTATGTGTCTGGATTCAAATGTTTTGTTGTGTAATATTGAAGAATTTATGTGTCTGGATTCAAATGTTTTGTTGTGTAATAATGAAGAATGTATGTGTTTAGATTCAAATGTTTTGTTGTGTAATATTGAAGAATTTATGTGTTTAGATTCAAATGTTTTGTTGTTTAATATTGAAAAATGTATGTGTTTAGATTCAAATGTTTTGTTGTGTAATAATGAAGAATGTATGTGTTTAGATTCAAATGTTTTGTTGTGTAATATTGAAGAATTTATGTGTTTAGATTCAAATGTTTTGTTGTGTAATATTGAAGAATTTATGTGTTTAGATTCAAATGTTTTGTTGTTTAATATTGAAAAATGTATGTGTTTAGATTCAAATGTTTTGTTGTGTAATATTGAAGAATTTCTGCACATGTCCACAAGGTAAGCCAAGGAAAGCAGTCATCGTCATGGAGACACATCACTGTCACAACAGCTAAGTCCCAGATCCCAGTCCACGTTACTACTACTGGCCATAACCTGGCTGTCAGCAGCAGACAACGGAAAACCTGGTCAGGGCCCATAACAACCACCAGGAATAGGATCACTAGACGTGCACATTCAGATGGAGTCATTGATCGCGCAGTCACAAGCAACATAAATTTGGGAATCATTTCTCAACCTCCTCCAACAGACAGGTGTGATAATCTTGAGCAGCCTATAGAGAAATCTTCACGACTCAGGTGTGTTTGACATTGTCGTTTTAGACAAGTTCACTTGACCAACCACCGTTTTTATGTTTGTGTGTTGAATGACATAAGGGAGAGATTTTTACTGATAGATATTGCATGTGACTTAACTGAGAGATGTTATTTGTGTATTAGCTAAGAAATGTTACAGATGTCTTAACTGAGAGATGTTGTTAGAATCTTAACTGAGATGTGAAAGAAATGACAGATGTTGTTAGCATATTAACTGAGAGATGACAGATATTGTAGGTGTCTTAGCTAAGAGATGTCATAGCTAGAAGATGTTGTGGGTGCCTTAACTGGGAAATGTTGTTAGCATCTTAACTAAGATATGTTTTTGTTGTCTTAACTGAGAGATGTTGCAGGTGTCTTAGCTAAGAGATGTCGTAGCTAGAAGATGTTGTGGGTGCCTTAACTGGGAAATGTTGTTAGCATCTTAACTAAGATATGTTTTTGTTGTCTTAACTGAGAGATGTTGCAGGTGTCTTAGCTAAGAGATGTCGTAGCTAGAAGATGTTGTGGGTGCCTTAACTGGGAAATGTTGTTAGTATCTTAACTAAGAGATGTTTTTGTTGTCTTAACTGAGAGATGTTATAAGTGTTTTAACTGAGAAATGTTGTAGGTGTCTTAGCTAAGAAGATGTTGTCGGTGTCTTAGCTAGTAAATGGATGTCATGTGTCTCGTAACTGAGAGATGCTGTAGGTTCTTTGCTAGGGGATGCTGTAGGTTTCTTAGCTATGTTGTTGTTGTTGGTGCCTTAACTGATTGATATCGCATTTTTCTAAGATATTTTTTTTATATAAGGGAGAGATGTTGTAGCTATGTTAATGGTGAGATGTTGTAGGTGCCTTAGCTAAGAGATGTTGTAGGTGTCTTAACTGAGCGAACGAACAAACAAACAAACTTTATTTTCAAAGAGTCACAAATTGGGCACACAAGCCTGTCTTACATTTGGCTTTTCTAAACACCCATCTTTCACACAGCACTTGCATTAAATCGGTAAAGCATGTTATGTTCATACGAGTACTGAAATTTTATATCAAGCCTGTTCAGTTGTATGGTAGCAAATCTTGGAATCTGAGCAAACAAATTAAGAAGAGTTGCAGGCAACTGAAAAGTGGTTCTTGAGAAGAATGTTGCTAATACCTTGGGCTCCCAGAGTAACTAACAATGTCACTGGGCCCTCACGGAAAGTAAAGAATATTGACACTCCACCCTACCAGGCATGTTGTAAGAGGCGACTAAGGGAATAGAGTTGGGCTTGAGGTTGGCTACCTCATCCTGTAAAAATAATAGCCACAAAAACCAACCAGCCATGGATAAGTCAAAAAGAGGAGCAGGTAAAAATCAGCCAACCAAGATGAGGGGAGGCTCTGCAAGCAGAAGAAGTATGTCACGGTGTGGAGAAAGCCAAAAGGAGTCCAAATCGTCGACATACCTCCTCCCAGCTAGGAAAATCTCAAGAATTAGCACCTGGAATGTTAGAACTCTCTATGATATAGGAAGAACAATGGAAGTAGTAAGGGAAATGAAACATTATAGAATTAATATTTTAGGGTTATGTGAAAGGACTGGGGCCGGAAAAAGTATTCTAAATTCAGGAGGAACTATTTTGTTCTCAGGACACACAGCGGAAAATTCGCCCCATGCACAGTGAAGGAGTGGCCCTGATGCTATTGAAAGAAGCAAACACGGTACTAATAGAATAGGAAGCTGTGAGTCTCAGAATAATAAGAGCATCATTTAGAACAGCGAAACAGAAGGTGAACATGTCGGTAATACAGTGTTACACACCAACAAGTGATAAAGATGCATCTGTTAAGGAAGAATTTTACATGCAGCTTCAAAATATTATATATTAAATTATATTATAAATAATGAAAGAAACAGCAATATAAAAATTGTGATGGGTGACCTGAATGCTAAGATAGGATCAGATAACACAGGTTATAAGGAGATTATGGGAAGACATGGTCTATGAGTAATGAATGAAAATGGAGAATTATTCAAAAAAATGTGTGCAGGAAACCAGTATGTTACTGGTAAAAAGTATTTTTCCCTATAAAAGAATACAGAAGGCAACATAGGAGCCACCAGATCATAAGACAACCAATCAAATAGATCACCTATGTATTAACAAAAAGCTTAGATCATCCCTTTCTGAGTTAGGGCTTTCAGAGGTGCTGATGTATTTACTGACCATTTTCTGTTGGTAAGTAAAATCAAGTTGAAAATTAAAAGATGCAAAGCATCTTATAATCATAAAAACCAATATAATGTAGGTTATCTCAGGGATAAAGAAGTTAAGGAACAGTTTTCAGTAACTGTCTCTAAAAAGTACCAGGTGTTGCAGCAGTTAGCTGAACTTGTAAGTACTGAAGTCTGCTGGGATTATATCATAGTAATCTGGAAATAAAACTTGTGTAGAAGTTCTTGGCAAGAAAGAATGGAAACATAAAGCGTGGATAACACCAGAAACCATTAAATTGATTGAAGAAAGAAAAAGTAAAAAGGCAGACTTAAACAATAGCAAAACTAGAGCTGCTAAAGCTAGAGCTCAGGATAAATACACTGAAGCCAAAAGGAAGTTAGGAGGCGTGTAAGGGCAGATAAAATGAAATATTCAAATGATCTAGCACAAGAAGTGGAGACAGCAGCAGCAAAAGAAAACCTCAAACTTTACAGTTATACAAGAAATTAGTAGGTAAATATAGTCAGCCAACTGGATCAATCAAAAATAGTCAAGGAAAGGTTCAATGGACAGATGGGCTAAATATTTTGAAAAACTTCTAAATAAACCAGGCCCAGAGGTTCCTCCAGATATCCAGCCTTTAAAAATAAAACTGGACATCAACTGTGAGATACCATCTAGAGAGGAAATTATAAATGCTATCAATCTTCTCAAGGTAGGAAAGGCGGCACATCCAGATGGTATCCCAACAGAAGCCATTAGGGCCAACATAAACACATCAACAGAATTGCTACATAGATTATTCATTAAAGTTTGAGAGAGGGAAGAAATACCAGCAGACTGGAGAGAAGGATGTCTTGTAACAAAACTGCCCCCAAATAAAGACGATCTACAGGAGTGTGAAAACTATAGAGGAATTATGTTGCTGTTAGTTCCTATTGCTATTGATAAAAAGCTAAGAGATGAACAGGCAGGTTTTTGGCCAAACTGATCCTGTACTGACCAGATAGCCACATTACGTATTATAATAGAGCAAAGCATTGAACTGATCTCACCACTTTACATTGGATTCATAGACTATGAAAAAGCATTTGACAGAATTGATAGGGAATCTCTCTGGAAATTGATGGGGCACTATGGAATCCCACAGAAAATTATTAACTTAGTAAAGGCGATATAAACAGATTTGAAATGTCAAGTTCTTTATGAGGGAAAGCTAACAGATACATTTGAAATAAAAACAGGTGTGCGACAGGGGTGACTTTCGTCGCCTCTCCTATTTTTACTGGCTATAGACTGGATTATAAAGACAGTAACTGCTAACACCAAGAATGGAATTCAGTGGATCCCTACAAAACAGCCCAAGGATCTGGACTTCGCTGGTAATTTTTCTCTTCTGTCCCATTGGCGGAATCAGAAACAAGATAAATATACTTGATGCGAGATCACAGCAGCTAGGTCTGAAAATCCATAAAGGAAAGACAAAGATAATGAGCATAAATCAAATAGTAATGTGGTTTCTCTTAATGGCACCCCACTCCAAGACGTGGAGTCGTACACCTATTTGGGCAGTAATGTAAATAAAGATGATGGAACTGATAGAGATATTAAAATAAGAGAACATTAACAAAATCATACATACACGCACTCATACATTCACAGAATCATACATATACACACTCATACATTCACAGAATCATACATACACACACTCATACATTCACAGTATCTTACATGTACACACTCATACATTCACAGAATCATACATACACACACTCATACATTCACAGAATCATACATATACACACTCATACATTCACAGAATCATACATACACACACTCATACATTCACAGTATCTTACATGTACACACTCATACATTCACAGAATCATACATACACACACTCATACATTCACAGAATCATACATATACACACTCATACATTCACAGAATCATACATACACACACTCATACATTCACAGTATCTTACATGTACACACTCATACATTCACAGAATCATACATACACACACTCATACATTCACAGAATCATACATGCACACACTCATACATTCACAGAATCATACATACACAAACTCATACATTCACAGAATCATACATATGCAAACACCTCAATGTACATAATTACACATGTAAACACTCATAAATTCACAGAATCATCCATACACACGCTCATTCATTCACAGAATCATACATACATACACAAACTCATACATTCACAGAATCATACATGCACACACTCAGACATTCACAGAATCATACATACACAAACTCATACATTCACAGAATCATACATACACAAACTCATCCATTCACAGAATCATACATTCACAGAATCTTACATGCACACACTCATACATTCACAGAATCATACATACACAAACATGCCTAAACATATATACATATCACTCAAAAATTGTCACACATGTACACTTAATACATTTCATACACACCTTATTTAATTATAAATGGACAATGCAATATGGGTATTAACTACTTTTAAGGTGGCATATAATCACTTGTGCGGCATCCGTGGCTTAGGCGTTGCGAGTCTGACTCGTAATTCCAACGTATCGCGATCAAAACCCACTGTTGTATGTCCTGGAAAAGTAAAGATGGCCAGCATAATGCTGACCCTATTACCCACCTAGTGCTGATCGGTCTGTAAAAAATATGGGCGCTCTTGCCAGCCATATGCCCAATGCGCCTAAAGGCGTGAAAAGCTATCTTGACTTTAAAAATAAAAATAATTACTTGTAAGCATGACCTGAACAAGTTTGCGGTTAA